TAATTACCGAAGGCATGATTTTCGAATATGTAGCACCTTAAAAATGTCACAACATTTTTGGAAAATCCATTATGTTTTTCACGCTCTGTCAACATCATGCATTAATTTGTCAGCTCCATTAATTCACTTCCTGATGTTCAGATAAAAAATGTTTAGCAGTGTACGCGCGTGAAACGACGTCGAGTAAAGTACGGAATGTGAGTTGTTAAACTTCACACATAACCAAAGATGTTAAGAGGAATTAGAACCGCTTTAAATATGATTTAACATTAGATGAGACACATGACCACAGCTTCACCTCTCGTTTTACAAAATTTTGAAACCACGAATATTTGAAAACTACAATGTAACTAGATGCAGACATGTTTTCTGTTTAAAGTGTCTACTGTTCATCGCTGATGTTTTTGTATGATCAAAAGTTAAATTTTAAGCGATTGTTAGCCAAAGAATCGACTCTCAACAGGAACATGAACCAAAGTATCGAACGGCATACCAACAGGTTTTACAGAAAAGTCTTTTTGGTCTGTTGCGTTTTGATAGAAATACTATACACTCCTAACATTTACATACACGACATACTACATATACTGTGGTCGGTGACGAATGTTCCATACAAAAATACAATACAGGAAATTGATTGCTAGTATATGACTTGTATATGAACACTGTAAGATAAAAGCTATATAAACTTTTCAATTGGTATCCTTGCTGAACGTCTGACCATTTTGTCTGTGTGTTTTTCGGTACGTATAGAATGAGGTGTCCAAAAGTCCGAAATTAAACGGCTCTCTTATTTTCTCAATGAAATTCGAAAGTTTCTATTGTGACCTTCGTTATTAACGCTGCTCAGCTTTCTGCCAACTGCGTACGTGAAAGTGACTAGCGCTTTTTTGGTAATGTTTCTACCACGGCTTTATTAACTATTATTCATCTATGTCTTTATTTCTTTTCAACAGGAAGCTGGTCTGGATATAGAAATAGACTTAAGCAATTCCTGCACCGATATGCGACATTAAAACTTAATCCCTCTTCGTTACGCATGCGTGGTTTTACTCCAGTTCAACGGACCAAAGAAACTCGTCAACTGTACAATGATGCAAGATTTTCATCGATGTTCATTAAGCGAGCAGCAATTTTGAACACGGGGATACGGAATTACGCATGCGACACCACACGTCTTACCTTACAGACTATCATAGAGTATGTAAAAAGTGGTTCCATATGTGGATTCCAAATCTCAGGTGTACGTTTTGGATTAGGAAAATGATGTTTTATATAACATTTGGAGAAAATTGAACAGAACGAACTCTCATCATGATTATTTGTCAAATTATTCCAGCAGGATGAAGTGTGATTGAATTTATGAGCACATTTGACTCTTCAGATTATATCAGAAGTAAGGAATTGCAGTGGACAATTTGATCTAAGTTTTATTGCAGGTGCGTAACTAGAATGAACTTATTGGTTAGATTAACAGTTGATTCTTCAGATCATATCGGAAGTGAGAATTTAAAATGAACATATTAGTTAACATCACGTCAGATCATAACAAAAGGGCGAAACTTACTACCTAGAACCGCGCTGGAGTTTTCAGATCATACCGGAAGTACAAAGAGTTAACATATTGTTTAATGCCGGTATTGATTCTTCTGACTATACCGGAAGTACGTTACAAATCAAATGATGTGTAAATATTTCGCTCTCGTTCTTAGCAAACTCTTTTACATGTGGATAACCTTATATGTAATGAACTAGTAATTGAAGAATTGATACCAACAACATATGACACGAGGTAACATATATAATGTTCTTGCTTTGGGGCACGTATTTATCATATATTCCATTTACACAAACACGTGACATTACTGATCTGACATTTGGATATACTTAATCAGCTTTTCAATGTGTAGATGATATCACTAATTCTCATGAGAGATCACACCTTTCCGGATAGGTGATAATCTATTGATGTATAGAAAACGCCCTATCATTGCATCAGCACATTTCCGATGACAGATGCTACAAATTAAAAGTATTTGGTTTCTACAATACCTGGGAATCACATAATTCACAATAACAGGAATATAATATATCAATATACTCTTTTGTACAGCAAGCATTGATGGTAATGCAGGTTAATCATTTAAGTTTCAGAACGAAAATAAAGTGTGCACTAGAATGCGATATGTGTGTCAATTACGACTGGTTGTGATTTCCTGGAAAACTGAGATACCAAGTTAGTAACCAAGTCTGAAAATTTTAGATGCTGCCTTAAAATAATTACTAGATTTGTTATAACCGAGTTATTTGGACGCCATTTTATTGTGAACAATTTTGACAACGAAAAGAGACGTACCTTGATATCTTAAATAATTGTATTGCCAACACGCACCTGCTCGTCATGTGGATGGCAAATATGCATACGTTCCCGGTAATCATATAATACACGCCGTAGAAGTTTCATATCAGAAGATATAACGTTTATCATGGGATATTTAATATCTATGTTATTGGCGAACCGCGCAGTCATATTGATACTTGCCAAAGGGACGGAGCATATCAGATAATAATACCGAAGTTTAACTATGCTGTTCTTACAATTATATCAATATCTGTAGCAGATACAACGTCCTCCTGCCTGTTCCATGTTTAGACAGACGGAAAAGTAAAACAGTTTCTCCACAATCATGCTGAGGACTAATATAGGAATATATAATATTATAAGTTTCCCCTCGTACTGGATCTAAATTTTAATTATAGAACATACATTTCAATCATTAATTATTTTGTACAACTTTGTACATATCGACAATGTCCCCATGAAGTCTCCCGGATGTTGCCAGGTTTTTCCTTTGTATGTTGTACGAATGTTTCGTTCTCTGATTTTTTCGGTATATATTCACATGTTTCTAGATGAATCTTACTTAGCTAACCAGCACTTCATTTTCCTATTTCATCCCAATCTTTCTGAAGCGAATCCTTAGCCTATGGATTTTTGATCATCTTAAAGAGCATACAAAACAAATATCGGAACACACTGTTTCAGGTTCATAATTAACTTATATATAACCACTAGAATAGGATAAATTACGGATCCTTGTGTTACCACTAAAATGAGTATTCCTTATTTACAGCGACTCGTTGGGTACGATTTGTCAAAAATGTTATTGATACGTATCAATTTGACTTCGAAGTTCAAAAATATATAAATATTAAATATCCGATTATGAATTTTAAAAGATACGTTCACAGCTGTTTAGTGCTGTACGTTACAGCTTGGTGACATCGCCTGTCTACATGTACATTTTCCGGTGTATATTTGAAATATAAATAACATAAAAAATGAGTGCGTTTTTAATTCATGTCCAATCTCCTGTAACTATTTGTTATTCGTATGTAGTAGGATATTCGTTACAATATTTTTTGTCTTTGTTTCAAATAAATTGTGATCACTGTCATTAGTCTTGTGATATGTAGATGTGCTCGGATGAACCGCTGTTCCCATTGTTACCATCGTGACATCGCAACTTTATGATGTCAAATGTGTTGTGACATCATCAAAATAGAATGGAAAGTACGAGAAAATAAATCAAAGTAAGATTTTACATCAGCCTGATACATTGCTGTTTTTGTTTTCGAATGTTTTTAAAAATCTTCCAAGTCCTATGATAAGCAGAACTCATTGGATACCCTCAATTAATAAGTGTGTAACTGTTTTAACAGCGCGCGCACGACTACTTAGGTATCACAGCGTGTTTGTTACATTTGATTTTATAACAACTCATGACCATTTGGGTATTAATCTTCTTTCATAACTTCGCAGTCACTGGGATTGACACCTGAAGCTTTTCACTTGAAATAAGAGATTTTGCTTAAGGATTATGAGAGTCATATTGCCAGAAATTCTCAAATTAATATTTGTTTCGGTTATGACTTTTTTAAAGGTTCAGTGATAGTAACCAAAATAAAATAATTATATATAAATGTTGCTGTATTTCATTAACTGCTACAGATTTCATAAAATAGAATATAGAAAATGTTCATTTTAATTCGTGATTAACAAGCATTCCTCGATATTTTCTACCCAAGCAAATCTCTCTCGTTTTCGTAACGGTGCAATAGTCGTTTTAAGAAAATGATTTAAACCTGCAATTGTATGTCTACGAATTACATATTTTCATGTTTATAGTATAACTATATGTCACGTGCAGTATATCATTTATTTATAACTAATTTATGGAGAAGAGTTCATAAGATGTTAGAACTTGTCCCTGATCCATTTATGTTTCTGACAATGAAATGTTTAAATTAACGTAGAGTGGTACTTTACACTATGAAAAAAGTTATTTGTTTTTATCTATTTACTCATTATTTTTTTTAATTTATGGGCTCAAAAATCCAGAGCAACCAACAAATGTAAATCTTGAAAATTGTTTACATCCTAGTCTATTTGGCAATGTTCTGAAATTGACTTGATGCTGAATTTTTGGCAATTAAATAGAGTTTGTAGCCATGCTTTATATTCAGAAATTTTCGACCAAAAATCTATTCTATCCAAGGACAAAAATCAAACTGAAATATTCATTTTCGGATCATAAAATGAAAAAAGCAGAATTCATGTAATTTAAATCTACAAGATGCAGTTATGATTCATGCAAACTTCTGTTGAATTTCCGAGCTAGTCAAGAGATTATCCTAGTGACGGAAAAAAGGAAAAACGAATTTATTTCATGTTGAATTATGCTCCACGTCCGGTCAAACATCACTTTCGTGCATGTTTAACAGTATATACGTAAAAATGTTAAATAGGATGGATAACAGATAAATGAAGGTATGGTGAAATAAACATATTTATATATCTATATATATACATATTTATGAGAAGAAATATTACTACATTTATTTTTTCTGATTTCATATTTTTTGAGACGCTTGTGTATCAGAAGATTTCCATTCAAGTCTTTCCTTTTGTATCAGACTGAGACTCAGCTTTATCCTCATTACAAAACCAACAATTCTGCTAGTCTGTACAAACCAGCAACAGTCTGAAAAAAGAAACCGCATCAGCTAGAGTAACATTGTGTGTACAATATAACCATAAGCATATTAAAAGGTCTTTTCCAAACTAGCGATTGTCCTGAAACAACGCCAATCTAACCAGCGGACTGCTCTAGTACAAGCCACAGCCTAATAATATGAGTCCCAAAGGGCCTGTATTCCTCAACTGGTTTCATATCCATTTCCATTATAACTTTCAATAGACAAAATCATTCTATTTTTTTATTGCAGCATGCGGAAATACTTTTCCTTTTGTTAATATTTTCCCGGTTTCATAAAACCTTATGTTAAAATTATTTCTTCCTTTTCCCCCATTGTTTTGATTTTTTGCGATGTTGCAGCAAACTCAGAAACAGCGAAAATAAGAACCCTTGAAAATAACTGCACACACACATATATGTATACAGAAAACTCATCCACGCATGTTTTAAGATTGCGATAGCTACCTCCTCGTGTCGTAGATCACGCAGAAGTGGAGAATCTATCGTGGAAAACCTTCCTTTGGGATATTCTCGCTTTGGACTAGCTACGGATTCATCGCCGGAGTTCATCTGCTTTTTAGGTTGTGCCCATTGTACCTAGAGTGAACAAACCAAACAGTGAGTTACGTGTGTAGTTCTTATTTACCGAGAGACACTAACGAAGGCTTCTGTCTGACGTGTACGTGTGTAGTTCTTATTTACCGAGAGACACTAACGAAGGCTTCTGTCTGACGTGTGCGTGTGTACTTCTTATTTACCGAGAGACACTAACGAAGGCCTCTCGTCAGACGTGTATGTGTGTAGTTCTTATTTACCGAGGGACACTAACGAAGGCCTCTCGTCAGACGTGTATGTGTGTAGTTCTTATTTACCGAGGGACACTAACGAAGGCCTCTCGTAAGACGTGTATGTGTGTAGTTCTTATTTACCGAGAGACACTAACGAAGGCTTCTGTCTGCCGTGTACGTGTGTATTTCTTATTTACCGAGAGACACTAACAAAGGCCTCTGACGTGAACGTGTGAAGTTCTTATTTACCGAGGGACACTAACAAAGGCCTCTCGTCATACGTGTATGTGTGTAGTTCTTATTTACCGAGGGACACTAACGAAGGCCTCTGTCATACGTGTATGTGTGTAGTTCTTATTTACCGAGGGACACTAACGAAGGCCTCTGTCATACGTGTATGTGTGAGGGACACTAACGAAGGCTTCTGTCTGACGTGTGCGTGTGTAGTTCTTATTTACCGAGAGACACTAACGAAGGCTTCTGTCTGACGTGAACGTGTGAAGGTCTTATTTACCGAGGGACACTAACGAAGGCCTCTCGTCAGACGTGTATGTGTGTAGTTCTTATTTACCGAGGGACACTAACGAAGGCCTCTCGTCAGACGTGTGTGTGTGTAGTTCTTATTTACCGAGGGACACTAACGAAGGCCTCTGTCATACATGTATGTGTGTAGTTCTTATTTACCGAGGGACACTAACGAAGGCCTCTCGTAAGACGTGTATGTGTGTAGTTCTTATTTACCGAGGGACACTAACGAAGGCCTCTCGTAAGACGTGTACGTGTGTAGCTCTTATTTACCGAGGGACACTAACGAAGGCTTCTGTCTGCCGTGTACGTGTGTATTTCTTATTTACCGAGAGACACTAACAAAGGCCTCCCGTCAGACGTGTACGTGTGTAGTTCTTATTTACCGAGGGACACTAACAAAGGCCTCCCGTCATACGTGTATTTGTGTAGTTCTTATTTACCGAGGGACACTAACGAAGGCCTCTGTCATACGTGTACGTGTGTAGTTCTTATTTACCGAGGGACACTAACGAAGGCCTCTGTCATACGTGTATGTGTGTAGTTCTTATTTACCGAGGGACACTAACGAAGGCCTCTGTCATACGTGTACGTGTGTAGTTCTTATTTACCGAGGGACACTAACGAAGGCCTCTGTCATACGTGTACGTGTGTAGTTCTTATTTACCGAGGGACACTAACGAAGGCCTCTGTCATACGTGTACGTGTGTAGTTCTTATTTACCGAGGGACACTAACGAAGGCCTCTGTCATACGTGTATGTGTGTAGTTCTTATTTACCGAGGGACACTAACGAAGGCCTCTCGTCAGACGTGTGTGTGTGTAGTTCTTATTTACCGAGGGACACTAACGAAGGCCTCTGTCATACATGTATGTGTGTAGTTCTTATTTACCGAGGGACACTAACGAAGGCCTCTCGTAAGACGTGTATGTGTGTAGTTCTACAGAGGAGCGCAACATGTGCAAACACTATTGTCTCTCTCGGTACGGTTACAATAGTGGGCGATGATGATTGTTTCGGCATTACCCATTAGTTATAACCAACGAATAAGAAGAAAATGAGTTTGAAAAGTTTTTTTTATAAATATCTATAAAACTTTCTGGACATGCAAAACAAAATGCATTTCCGTTTTATTATTCATTCTGTTCTCACATTACAGCTGCAGATTACTGAAAATCGTTCAGCCTTACTGACTATTAATGTCTGTGTTATTCACCCGCTTTCTTGTCTGGAGGACTCCGTCGATCAGTTCATCTGGGTAATCGGCTCTTTTCAAGTATGGCTATTTGAGCTTAAGAGCTTTAGACTTTTTCGTTTAATTTTATCTGATTGAGCGCTACCTACAATGCTGAAATCGGGATGCCGGAATATATATCGTCCACCGATAAAATCAATTTGCCTCTCATTATCTGGTAGTGTATATTATATGACAATGTTAATTGACAATAACACACTATTTACATGTACCCGTTATACATCAATTAGCACGTTTATCTCCCAATTTCTCTACGACAGTTTAATGGAATCTTACTAAACTTTATACGAAGTGGAGAAGAAATGTGATGTTACAGAATGTCAATTAGTTTTCGACAGTTATCAGTAATGAAAAAATCCAATTATTGAGAAATGTAGATTAATGTATACCACATAAAATGTATAGTAATATTAGATCGTAAAGGACAACATAACACATTGGGTATTATAATCGGAAGTCTGAAAACTGTAGGACTGAGTTACAGTAATGCTAGATATCACGCTTCTGTACCCAGGGTTACAATAATGAGCGACTCTGCAACTGGTATCAACGACGCCACTAGCTATTCTTAAACTCGGCTATAATAGCGGGTCCTTTGCACCCATAATTATTACCAGGTCATGATAGTGAGTGCGGATGTCCCCACTTCTACAGTCGGATTACAATTGTAGTTTTTATTGGATATTACACAAATCTTCTCAGAAATATCCTTGTGTGACGAATTGAATATATTTGTGTACAGATATATTATCATGTAATATTTTTGATTTAACCAAAATATGTCCATTGTACATTATACTGAAAGGCCAATTGATGTAGATTTTTTACTTGACGCGCCATTTTGTTTGACCCCGTTTATGATTTTGGAAATTACAGTATAATTCATTTTTATATTTTATTATATAATGAACATGGTTTACAATGAGTCCACTTAATATTTAACTATACACGTATGCCATGCTCGTCACAAACATTTAAAGCTAGACAAGTCTCTCGTACCAAACAATTTTGTTAAAGAAATGAAACGGGAAAACATGGCACAGAATTACGGTTCTTTGTTGAGACCATCATTTGACAATCTCTCTACACATGTACCTGCTTCTTCGCACTGTTTTCCCGGGAATTGTGACCCAAAGAGTCCTCTCGTGTCAATGAATCCTCCTCTTCGTGCATGTTCTCGTCACTTTTCTCCTTTGAATCTTTGTTTTTGATGATCTCCATCTGGGACACTACGTCATTCTTAAAAGAACGAAAACAAGAAAGAAATGCACTATTGTAGAATTATTGTTCCATCCCCCCCCCCCCTGTCCGAGACGGGAGTATAACATACATTTTTTATTTCAATTCTGTTTATCCCTTTTTTATTCTTGAAATCAAAGAGTGACGTCTGATCGTACTAAGTCACACTGCCCTGCTGTTGTCCCTTGCACAGCTACCATTAACTAACCTGTTTGTAATCTGATGACTGTTGAGGGGATTCGGACCTCTCGGCTACAGCCTGGTAGTATGGACTATCCTCGTGCATGATGGACGGAGGCCCATTCTTCTGTATGAAGAGAGCGCACACGTTATTTGTTTTTATTACTGTTTTACAGTGATTGTCAAGATCTCGAACAATATCATTTTATCAGTTCGCTTGCTATTTATTGTATCTTAGAGATTAGATATTCGACATATCTACCACAATTTAAAATGTTTCTATCCATACTCTTATCCATTCAAACCACTTTCCATTCGGCCCCCAAACATTCGATAGTTTCTGTCACATTTTGACACATCCTTTATAAAACCTCCTCCGTCACACCCTTCTGCTGTATACTACATATCTTACTCCCCTCCCTCCTCCATCACACCCTTCTGTTGTATGCTGTAAACCTTACTCCCCTCCCTTCTCCGTCACACCCTTCTGATGTATACCGTAAACCTTACTCCCCTCCCACCTCCATCACACACTCCTGTTGTATACTATATACCGTACTCCCCTCCCTCCTCCGTCACATCATCCTGTTGTGTACTGTATACCTTACTCCCCTCCCACCTCCGTCACACCCTCCTGTTGTATACTATATAGTTTACTCCCCTCCCTCCTCCGTCACATCATCCTGTTGTGTACTGTATACCTTACTCCCCTCCCTCCTCCGTCACATCATCCTGTTGTATACTATATACCGTACTCCCCTCCCTCCTCCGTCACACCATACACTTTATACCGTACTCCCCTCCCTCCTCCGTCTCACCCTCCTGTTGTATACTGCATACCTTACTCCCCTCCCTCCTCCGTCACACCCTCCTGTTGTATACTGTATACCTTACTCCCCTCCCTCCTCCGTCACACCCTCCTGTTGTATACTGTATACCTTACTCCCCTCCCTCCTCCGTCACACCCTTCTGTTGTATACAATATACCGTACTCCTCTCCCTCCTCCGTCACACCCTTCTGTTGTATACTATATATCTTACTCCCCTCCCTCCTCCGTCACACCCTCCTTTGTATACTGTATACCTTACTCCCCTCCCTCCTCCGTCACACCATCCTGTTGTATACTGTATACATTACTCCCCTCCCTCCTCCGTCACACCCTCCTGTTGTATACTGTATACCTTACTCCCCTCCCTCCTCCGTCACACCCTCCTGTTGTATACTGTATACCTTACTCCCCTCCCTCCTCCGTCACTGTATACCTTACTCCCCTCCTCCTTGTACACCCTCCTGTTGTATACTATATACCTTACTCCCCTCCCTCCTCCGTCACACCCTCCTGTTGTATACTGTATACCTTACTCCCCTCCCTCCTCCGTCACACCCTCCTGTTGTATACTGTAAACCTTACTCCCCTCCCTCCTCCGTCACATCCTCCTGTTGTATACTGTATATATCACACCCTCCCCTCCCTCCTCCGTCACACCCTCCTGTTGTATACTGTAAACCTTACTCCCCTCCCTCCTCCGTCACATCCTCCTGTTGTATACTGTATACCTTACTCCCCTCCCTCCTCCGTCACACCCTCCTGTTGTATACTGTATACCTTACTCCCCTCCCTCCTCCGTCACATCATCCTGTTGTATACTGTATACCTTACTCCCCTCCCTCCTCCGTCACATCATCCTGTTGTGTACTGTATACCTTAATCCCCTCCCTCCTTCGTCACATCCTCCTGTTGTGTACTGTATACCTTACTCCCCTCCCTCCTCCGTCACACCCTCCTGTTGTATACTATATATCTTACTCCCCTCCCTCCTCCGTCACACCCTCCTGTTGTATACTGTATATCTTACTCCCCTCCCTCCTCCGTCACATCATCCTGTTGTATACTGTATACCTTACTCCCCTCCCTCCTCCGTCACATCATCCTGTTGTATCTGTATACATCCTCCTTACTCTCCCTCCTCCGTCACTCCTCCCTTACTCCCCTCCCTCCTCCGTTGTATACTGTATACCTTACTCCCCTCCCTCCTCCGTCACATCCTCCTGTTGTATACTGTATACCTTACTCCCCTCCCTCCTCCGTCACACCCTCCTGTTGTATACTATATATCTTACTCCCCTCCCTCCTCCGTCACACCCTCCTGTTGTATACTGTATACCTTACTCCCCTCCCTCCTCCGTCACATCATCCTGTGGTGTACTGTATACCTTAGATGCATTTTCCTTCTGTTTGTATTTCCTTCTTTTGGAGCGACGTGGTTTCCCGTCCGGGTTTTCCATCACATTGACTGATATGATACCTTCCAGCATTAGTTTCCGTAGCCTTTGTTTCTCTGCATCCGCCAACGCCTTTTCCTTTTTGTCCATGTTGGCCTAAACCAGGACATAAATTTATTTTTTCAAAATGTTACTAGTATTTTTTTTTTCATTTATCTACGCGAATGAAGACTTAATGATAACTTTAATTTTTGCTTACATCTACCTTGAAAAATCCTGTCTTTAATCCTCTCTGTTTACAACCACCCCATGTAATTCTCCTATTTGATTTTATACCTGCCCCTCGTGTTACCAACCTCGTACTCCTATCTGATGTCATAACAGTTCCTCGTGTTACCAAGGACGTACTACTATCTGATGTCATAACAGTCCCTCGTGTTACCAACATAATACTCCTCTCTGATGTCATAACAATCCCTCTTGTTACCGAGGACGTACTCCTATCTGATATCATAACAGTTCCTTTTGTTACCAAGCTCGTACTCCTGTTACCAAGGACGTACTCCTATCTGATGTCATAACAGTTCCTCGTGTTACCAAGAACATACTCCTATCTTATGTCATAACAGTCCCTCGTGTTACCAAGCTCGTACTCCTATCTGATGTCATAACAGTCCCTCGTGTTACCAACATAATACTCCTCTCTGATGTCATAACAATCCCTCTTGTTACCGAGGACGTACTCCTATCTGATATCATAACAGTTCCTTTTGTTACCAAGCTCGTACTCCTGTTACCAAGGACGTACTCCTATCTGATGTCATAACAGTCCCTCGTGTTACCAAGCTCTTACTCCTATCTGATGTCATAACAGTCCCTCGTGTTACCAACCTCGTACTCCTATCTGATGTCATAACAGTTCCTCGTGTTACCAAGCTCGTACTCCTATCTGATGTCATAACAGTCCCTCGTGTTACCAACCTCGTACTCCTATCTGATGTCATAACAGTTCCTCGTGTTACCGAGCTCTTACTCCTATCTGATGTCATAACAGTCCCTCGTGTTACCAACCTCGTACTCCTATCTGATGTCATAACAGTTCCTCGTGTTACCAACCTCGTACTCCTATCTGATGTCATAACAGTTCCTCGTGTTACCAACATAATACTCCTATCTGATGTCATAACAGTTCCTCGTGTTACCAAGAACATACTCCTATCTTATGTCATAACAGTTCCTCGTGTTACCAACATAATACTCCTCTCTGATGTCATAACAGTCCCTCGTGTTACCGAGGACGTACCCCTATCTTATGTCATAACAGTTCCTTTTGTTACCAAGCTCGTACTCCTGTTACCAAGGACGTACTCCTATCTGATGTCATAACAGTTCCTCGTGTTACCAAGAACATACTCCTATCTTATGTCATAACAGTTCCTTTTGTTACCAAGCTCGTACTCCTGTTACCAAGGACGTACTCCTATCTGATGTCATAACAGTCCCTCGTGTTACCGAGGACGTACTCCTATCTGATGTCATAACAGTCCCTCGTGTTACCAAGAACATACTCCTATCTGATGTCATAACAGTCCCTCGTGTTACCAAGGACGTACTCCTATCTGATGTCATAACAGTCCCTCGTGTTACCAACCTCGTACTCCTATCTGATGTCATAACAGTCCCTCGTGTTACCAACATAATACTCCTCTCCGATGTCATAACAATCCCTCTTGTTACAAAGGACGTACTACTATCTGATGTCATAACAGTCCCTCTTGTTACCAAGGACGTACTCCTATCTGATGTCATAACAGTCTCTCGTGTTACCAAGAACATACTCCTATCTTATGTCATAACAGTCCCTCGTGTTACCAACATAATACTCCTCTCTGATGTCATAACAGTCCCTCTTGTTACCAAGGACGTACTCCTATCTGATGTCATAACAGTCCCTCGTGTTACCAAGGACGTACTCCTATCTGATGTCATAACAGTCCCTCGTGTTACCAAGAACATACTCCTAGCTGATGTCATAACAGTCCCTCGTGTTACCAACCTCGTACTCCTATCTTATGTCATAACAGTCCCTCGTGTTACCAACCTCGTACTCCTATCTGATGTCATAACAGTTCCTCGTGTTACCAAGGACGTGTTTTACCTGATGTCATAACAGTCCCTCGTGTTACCAATACAATACTCTTCTCTGGCGTCATATAACAGTCTCTCTTGTTACTAAAGACGCGTTGCACATGATGTCATGATACCTACCCCTGCCATAATAACCCAAGTGCTACCAACCTCGTACTCACACAATAACGGCTTCTCCTGGTGCTTACCTCGTACTCCTCTTTCAGTTTCTGAAGCAGAGTTTCTGTATAGTTGTGGTCGTTGAGTCTGATGACGTCAGTGCCCATCAGCCGTTGTAAATGCTGGCGTGTCCGCAACACGGAAAGCGAACTGTGGAACAAAATACGAAGTTTTAACACGAAGTGCCAACTCTACTATAATGATGGAAAGCATTTTTTCTTTAGATTTCACGTGTGACATTTTTTTTATGCACGTAAAGCGGTTAGTGTCACCTCCAATAAATTTAGTTTTTGTCTCAATTACGATATACGTGTAACTGTAATTTATATAAATGATAGTTGTAGGTCGTAATTACGACAGGAAATATGTGTGTTTGATATTGTACTTTCCGCTTTCCATGTAGATGTGATTTAGTGGACTTCGAAAAGACTACTAATACAGTCCCTCAACAAAGACTCCTTATTTATACAGGAACCAGAGAGTCATGAAAGAAGGCAAAGCGACAAAGAGTACTCAACCGATACTTTTTCTCAAATAAACAATTTACCGACAGGAAGCAGTTGAACATGTTGGTACGCTTTATTGCCCACGACACCAAAATGTACAGTGTGGTGAACAATGAGCAGGATGGACACCTGCATTACAAAATAATATCAAACAATTACTACAATAGTCAAAACTTTGACAAGGTGAATTCAACGATGAGGAATGTACACATGTCCATTTAGGTAAATCTGATGAGGTCGGGTTGTGCATTGGTAACGCTCTACAGGTATTGATGGTACCGGTAATAAGCTGTTGAAAATTGTTCATACTGAAATAGCTCGATCTCTTACATTTATAATGAATGTTTGTCTAAAGACAGGTTATTCCCCTACACAGTGGAAACAACTGAAGTTACCTCCCTTCACAAAAACGGAAGCACGGTTGATGTTGAAAATTATAACCCAATATCTGGCTTACCTGTTCTTTCCAAAATTTTAGAGAAGCGAGTCCACTGCATGTTGTACAAGTATTCGACATATCATGAATTAGTGCTTTGTCTCAATCTGGCTTCCGCCATAAACATTCATATGAAACCACACCTTTGAATATTGTAAATTCCTTAGCTAAGAATATCGTTGATGGACTTTGTATAGGAGTAATATTAGATTTTAGAAAAAGCTTTCGATTTCGTTGACCATTCTGTTTTACTTCAGAAACTCTCTCTTTACAAAATTGACCAGAATTCTTTATTGTGGTTTCAGTCTTATCTTGACAATAGGACCCATTTAGTCTCCATGGCTGGTCACATGTCAAACATCTGTAAATCTACTCATGGTGTTCGGCAAATAATCTATTAATCTAAGGTCCTTTGATGTTTCTACTTTTCATAAACGATTTGTCATTAAATGTGAAGGCTGATATGAATATGTATGCAGACGACATTATTTGCTGGTTTATATTAAAAGCAAATTACATTCTGATTTTAAAATGTTCATGGTGTGTTTAAAATATGATAATTGTAAATGTCAAAAACCAAAACGTATGTGTAAAGCTTCTGAATAGACACAAGGTAGAAAGTGTTTAACTCTAGATCTTACTTAGTGTAATGGATCTCATGGTGTAAGAGATAAGGTATTTTGTGTTCTTATTGGTAATTGCATGTCATGGTCAGATCATATACCAACTCATTTGGGCAAAATAAGGCAAAGATTAGGCAAAATAAGGCAAAATAAGGCAAATATTAGGCAAAATAAGGCAAAATAAGGCAAAGATTAGGCCTGTCGCGTCGTATGATTCCATCTCACGGAAGGAAAAATCAGATTTTTCCAGGCTTGTATTTCCCCACACTTTGTATATTGAAGTACTGTGTGGAAGAGTGTTCTGGAAATTTGATGGGTAAGCTCCTGAAAGCTCAGAAACAAGCATTAGGCACGCCGTCCAAAGACATGTTTGAAATACGGTGGATGCCTATCGAGAAATATTTTAAATCTATAAGGCTATATATGATTTTAAATGATGTTAATTAGCTTAAACCAGTTAAAATTAAATTAATCTAAATGAAAGACATTCGACCTAGAAACCATATATAGACCTGTGGTAAATAGAAGAAAGTACAGACCGCCGCCATACACTTATACTTGGAATATGGTACACCTTAAAGTCATAGACATGTACAGACGTTATCCGCTACGAATTAATGAAAGACGAAGCACCCAAAAAGGTACACACAAAGCGTCACATACTTGAACATAATGATTTTATGTGGCCTCATTGATAAATTTGAAACCAAATCTAGGGATTTGAAACAAGAGGCCCAAATGGTCTGTATCGATCACCTGGCTTTGTTTGGTTGACATTATTTCATCTAAAAACAAGGGAAAAGAAATTCTAAATTTCCAAGCACACAACACACACTGTATCTATTTCGTTATTGGGCCCCTCCTCTCACTTTTAGGGGTCAGCCAAACAATTCAAGCTTCTTACCAAAGCGGGACAGAATCCTATAATTCCATCTGAATAATTCCTCACGCCTCAGGGGGCCGAGAACAATCTTTTATACCAAATTTATTTCCCTTCCGACAACATTTGGGCAAATTCCAATTATTTCTACAGCAGAAGCAGCAACGAATTTGCTCTATTTCCCCTAATGGGCCCCGCCCCTCCTGCCCCAGGGGGCCGAGAACCATCTTTTATATATATATATATATAAAATTTGATTTTTCCCCCCAAGGATGCTACTGAGCAAATTTGGTCAAAATCTGTTCAGTCGTTCATGACTAGCAGCGATTTGTAGAAAAAGTTGAAGACGACCGGACGACGGACTACCAAAGCCGCGGTTTGACATAAGTTCGCCGGCCCTTAGGAACAGGTGAGATGATAAAAAATGAAATGTTAAAGTTCAATCAAAATCCGAAGTAAAAATTGAATGTGTGCATGTCTGCTAAATCGGTATCATGTTAAATTAAACAGAAAGTTTAAATATGATGAAGGTGTTCACAATCACATAATGTATGACTAGTCAATCATGATATCGTTAAACAAAATATTTCAAATATAAAAAAAAAGAAAAAAAAAAAATCGTCCATGAGCTAACTACAACACCGAGACATAGATACATCTGTATTATAACCTTTACTTTGCAAGTTTCTGATCACCGGGAGACAAAACAGAAACACGTTCGTGATCAACAGCCATGTTTAGATTGTAGACCGAGAAAGAAAAAAATCTGTGATAAACAGGAACACGTGCCGACCGCATTAACAGTTTATGTGATGATCAGATTTACTGCCTTATTTCAATATAATTTTAGATCGCGAAAGATTTCGTTTTTTACGTAAAATCTTATAAACCTGAATAGAATTGTCACATATCTTATAACGACACCTTATAAAACATAAAGCAATGGAGCATGGTCTAGCATTTGAAATCACTGAAAATATAATCCCATGTGTCCATATTGGATGTTGACACTATGTAACAATCACCTTAAGTGGCTGAATAACTGACATTCGGTCTTTTCTGCTTTGTTGTGCGGGACAATATGCTAAGCGACAAAGCGCTGAAACGAAAATATGAGAATCTGCTAAAGGACTAAATCAGAACATCTGCTGCTCTACAGAAACTACCAGAAGCAATGCATTGTGTTCATAGGGACTTTGATCATAACTTCATAACTTTTTTTCTTCGATTTTCAAATAATATAATATCATCGTGAGAAGCAACGATTAGATATTAAGCTGGTCCAGAAATAACTTTTGCACTGCCGATAGATACGTGTATATAAGGACATCCAAATATTTAAAAACAAAAGTGTATTGTTAAAATATTATAGAATATAAATTGATGTAGTGTACATATTGAACAAAATAATCAAAACATCCGTTTACGAGTGCTATGCAAACTTTGTCCTTCAAGCGTATATGTCACAAATAAGCTATCGAATCGGAAACACAGAAACAAGACCTCATTTTAGCTTTCGAATTTTACGTTATTATTTAAGATGCTGACGTGATACCTTGACTGTATAAACGAACCAAACAACAATATCCGAACGTTAACTAACAACTTTATATTTATGATGTAATAAAGCTGACTGGATTCATAAGTGATGTGATTGCCATCAGAACAAGTCGCCAGACATAAACCAGGTGTTGAATAAATCATTACCTTGTGTTTTTCTATCCTATAATTGATATTTATAAAACCAACGATGTGTAATATGATATACACAGTGGATTCAGCATACTCAGTCAACGTAGGACAATTAACCAGTGGAATCTATCGCTCGCTCCTTCTCAACCGTGACACATAGCTCATTAATTCCTATGTAGCGCTCTACATGACGTTTACTTGTTACTTGTGCGTTCTTTTTTCACTGAGCCAGCTATACACTTAACAGCAAAGTAATGCAGGATCAAATGTGAAATTTGGATATATTTGTGAAGAGGAGTTATATATATATCGATATATAGCACGCATCTTAAGAGGAACATCAATATAGTAGGCGAGTCAGGAATTTATATAAAAAAGCAAGCGAGACAATTTAACCGCAGCACTATTTCTACGTCTTCATAATAATATTAATATAGAAAAATCAGTGATTAATGAATGGTATTTCACTAACAAAAACTCACACATCCAAACTGAATTCGCTCTCGGCCAAGACAAATTCCTGCGAGTTCTGGTTTCTATAGCGTGCGACGGTCTCCTCCATGTCGAATTCATTCAACAATTCTCTTACGACAGCTTGTTTTTTCTTCTTCTGTAAGTCCGAATAAGGTCGTTGAGGACTGGGTGTCCATCTGTCAGAGCAGAAAGAGTCCGGAGTACCAGCCCTGTCTGTCCGACTCTGCTCCATCATGTTTCCCGTGCGGTTGTGAAGGGTAATCTATCTATTATCACAAATCAACCGTATGGATGATGTTTACTAGACAATACCTAAACCTGTAACACGCGATGAACAGTACCAGGCCACTGATGTGGAACGAAAACTTCACGCTATATAACCTGAATTGGATGTCGAACTAGCGCGTGTTTGAACTAAATTTATTGACAGGGTTATCAAACTTAAAGTAAATACCTGGTCCAGACTAGGTCTTGTGATGTTGTAAACGTGAGCTGCAGCTATATAAGTGTCGTCCTCCCCTTATCAGTGGGTTGATTTATTATACTCCGGGATAGGACCGCAATTGCCTCCAATTTGCATGTTTTGTTTATTCTAATACTGTCATAATTAATGGAGAAATGGAATCGAGGTGGCGTGCCGTCGTTGGGTGTGGAGGCTAGTTACCGCAATCACCAAACGAAAACAGGCCACGGACAACAAACGACCGTATCGACGAGACCGATGATCGTCTCATACATCAGTTAATGTCGGTGGTGACCGATAGAAATGACCAGTGGATGAATATAAATAGAATATCAAAATGTAAAGAAAAACGGGATGAAGCTGTGGACATATATGAATATACAGAATGATAACTTATCGGCGTCTCCTACTTTGTTAGCGTCAGCAGCCGTTTGTAAAGTTTAAATGTCAAACCCATGTATGTAAAGCACAACTGAACATGTGTACAATGACAGTTTTCATAGTGAACAATTTAATAACCATTCTCAGGGATAAACCAGGATTACAACCACGAAACTTTTTCAGTTTTTGTATCAACATTGTCTCGTGCGTCTTTTGATGAGCATGGCAAGTATATGTCAGGGGTTATGATATTTGAACCAAGCCTAAACTCTCGACCATAGTTGGAAAGAGCAGGATTTCAAAATAGGAACACCAAATCGACCTAGTCAGAATTAGCACGGACCTAGGTTTATATCTATATCCCCGTGGAGTTAGATAATAATAATAGGTCGTTATACAAATAAAGTACATTTATTGGAAACAAAGACTATTTACGATAACTATGTTTAGCATTCCAACCTCAAATAATTTAAATTATATGTTTAAAAGATGACGTCATCGTTCCCAGAGTTGAGTGATACGAATAGGTTTCTAGTGAAACATGCTGGCAAGACCAAGACCGCCATTGTTTTGAAAGTTTTTTTTGATTACAGAATAGAACTGCATAGACAGAATACATGGAAAATTATGACGTCAAAAAGAATGATGACGTAACAATTGAACCAAGACATGTGATAGGGATATACTTATATTTTGCATGATGACCTCCCATCAACTCATTATTAATCAGGATTGTATCACATAAACATAGATGCAGTCTTGACAACAGCAATAGCATGACGTATTTTTATTCCCAGGAACGCAGTTTTTATCTTGATTGTATTCACAGGGGACAAAAACATGACGTCATGTTGGCATTATAGGTTCACGTTAATCATTTAGCTGATTTGGGTTTCCCAAAAGCTTTTCAATAATGTAAACTTTGAGCGACAAATACAATTTCAAACTTAGTAAAAAAGACATGTTAATGTTTTGAATAATATCCAAAATGTAAATGTAACCATTGAACGTCTCTCAAAGAATGTCATTATTATCTATCTGACAGTAAGATTGTCTATAAATACAATCTGACCGAAATTCTAAAATGCATTAAATCTGAGTTTTTGTCGTTATCAACAGCTCGTTTATATATGTCGATAAGTATATTTATGATACGTAGTAAAGAAAAGAACAATTGAACTAAACTTCTGAGGCTAGACCTGTATACATGATTACATACTGTTTACATATGTTTACCTGAATCTAAAGCATACCTTTGTCCATATACTGTACACCAAACCAACACAGATTATCTTTATAAGTATCCTTAAATTTAAAACATACATCCCATCATTAACGTACTCGAGAATGTCATTTTGTTCATGTCGTATTCTTTATTGCTTCAGTAAAACAATTCGTGTGCTGTAAAATGGAATCAAGTGGGTACTCGAGTATAATTTAATTCAAAATACATGTGTGCTTAAAAGACTAAGTGCTATTTCAAATATAGTATCCTACGGGAGGTATATTTGCTTATATGTTTCTCTTAGCAGCGTGGCTCGGTGGGTAACATTTCTACGTAATGTGTGTTACTATATTGTGCTCTGACGCTTAATTTAGAAAAAAATCCTTTAAATCCTTTCCAATAAACCGAAGATGATAAAATTGGTAAGATACTGTGAAAACACCGATTAACGAAGGCAAACATCAGAGCAATTCATGTATGGAAATGAGACAAGAATAAAGGCATGGTATAGTGATACGGGACAAATTCACCAAGGTGGAGCAAATAATTTGTATTCAATCAAGGGCATGACAGCAACGTGGCATCCTACGGGGAAAAGGGACAAAAGACTGTAAGGATTATTTTTGTCTTGGTTTTCCCGAAGTGGATGTTTTGCTATCTCCCCTGTTTAGGCCCCAGTCGCAAGCCAACTAATTTTGTTAATTGGTTTGATATTGAAAAACAACCGGCGAAGAAGATAATTCAGATACACGGGCTCGATCAATACTTCTGCATGCGGAGTTTGTACGTCACTATGTATGTGTTTAAAAGAGAAAACGAAGCTTGTGACTGATAAGCTCTGAACACCAACGACATTACCTAGGGTGCAATGATATGAAAAGTTAATATGTTCGGTGGTAATGGTTTTAATTACACGGAATTTGTTATCAGTGTAATTCAATTATTCATTCGTTTATTACTTGTGTACACCCACACAAGGTACAATATATACCTAAACACCAAACCGATATATGTATATATTTATATCAATATTTCCAAAACTGAAAAAGGTAATTTCCGGTACTGATTTTCTGTCAGAGGATGACGTCATACATGCAGCGGAGGACTCTCTGGTATATATAGAAACGCATATATATTTACCACAACGGTATATATACCAACACATATATATCTACCACAGCGACATATATATATACCAACACACATATATTTACCACAACGGTATATATACCAACACATATATATCTACCACAACGACAAATATATACCAACACATATATATCTACCACAACGATATATATATATATATATATATATAACAACACGTAGATATCTACCACAACGATATATATACCAACACATATATATCTACCACAACGACATATATACCAACACATATATATCTACCACAACGATATATATAGCAACGCATATATATCTACCACAACGATATATATAGCAACGCATATATATCTACCACAACGATATATATACCAACACATATATATCTACCACAACGACATATATACCAACACATATATATCTACCACAACGATATATATACCAACACACATATATCTACCACAACGGTATATATATCAACACACATATATCTACCACAACGGTATATATACCAACACATATATATCTACCACAACGGTATATATATAACAACACATATATATCTGCCACAACGATATATATAGCAACGCATATACATCTACCACAACGACATATATACCAACACATATATATCTACCACAACGACATATATACCAACACATATATATCTGCCACAACGGTATATATATCTACCACAACGGTATATATATAACAACACATATATACACACGGTATATATATAAACACACATATATCTACCACAACGGTATATATACCAACACATATATATATATAACAACACATATATATCTGCCACAACGGTATATATATCAACACACATATATCTACCACAACGGTATATATATAACAACACATATATATCTACCACAACGACATATATATATATATATATAACAACACATATATATCTGCCACAACGGTATATATATCAACACACATATATCTACCACAACGGTATATATATAACAACACATATATATCTGCCACAACGGTATATATATCAACACACATATATCTACCACAACGATATATATATATATATATATATATATACCACAACGATATGTATAGCAACGCATATATATATATATATATATATATAACAACACATATATATCTACCACAACGATATGTATAGCAACGCATATATATCTACCACAACGATATATATATAGCAACACATATATATCTACCACAACGATATATATACCAACACACATATATCTACCACAACGACATATATATATATATAGCAACACATATATATCTACCACAACGATATGTATAGCAACGCATATATATCTACCACAGCGATATATATATATATATAGCAACACATATATATATCTACCACAATGATATATATATAGCAAACACATGTATATCTACCACAGCGATATATATATATATATAGCAACACATATATATATCTACCACAATGATATATATATATATATATATAGCAAACACATGTATATCTACCACAACGGTATATATACCAATGCATATATATCTACCACAACGATATATATAGCAACACATGGATGCTGGAAGGAACGCAATGACTTCAGCAAATTATGTCAGATTTAGCCTTAATGATAAAGAACTAGTAACTACAAAGAAGGAAAAAGACGTAGGAGTAATCATTGAGTCTGACTTAAATTTTGAAAACCATATTAGTGAAAAAGTTAAAAAAGCAAACTCAATGTTTGGCATGTTAAGAAAAACCTTTCATTTCATGGATATTAAGATATTCTATGACTATGCAAATGCAGTGTGGTACCCATATAAGTACAAACATATTGATTCATTTGAAAATGTTCAACGCCGAGCCACAAGATGTCTACCAGGCCTACAGAAATGACCATATGGAGACAGGCTAAGAAAACTCAAGTTACCTACATTGTCATATCGGCGTATGCGCGGGGACATGATTGAAGTATACAAAACGATAAACGGGATTTATGATAAAGAATGTTGTTCTTTAATAAAATTATGGTCAGATGTGGCTTCTAAACAC